ATTATGGTTATAATTTCTGGTGCATTTCTGAAGTGATACCATATAATGCCACATTATTGCGATATTTGAATAAAAGTGAAATTAATAAGAAAGCTGATAAGATATGTTCAACTTATTTGGATCGAAGATACAAAATGAACTGTTTTGGTGCTGATTTAACTAACGAAGCAACTCTAAAAAGAGGATACTTTAATTAATAATTGGTGATATTTCCACAAGAATCCTTCAAGCAATTAATTTTATATCGAATTTTGAAAATTATCGATGAAAATTGCAACATCGAAAATTTTATCAAAACTTCAAATATTGTTTTCTCAAAAACTAAAAGTTATTTCTCAAAACGGGTTAGTTCATTAGAAAGAGGACACTTTTATTAACACTTTGGGAAATTTTCATGCTCATATTCCAAGAAATGGATTTTATACGAATTTTTAAAACTTAATCGGCGAAAATTGCAAAATTCTAAAAAATTGTCGAATATTTCAAAAATTTTTTTCTCAAGGACTAAAAGTGGTTTTCCAAAACAGCTTTTTGCATTAAAAAGAGGATACTTTAATTAATAATTGGTGATATTTCCACAAGGATCCTTCAAGAAATTAATTTATAGCGAATTTTGAAAATTATCGATGAAAATTGCAACATCGAAAATTTTATCAAAACTTCAAATATTGTTTTCTCAAAAACTAAAAGTTATTTCTCAAAACGGGTTAGTGAAAGAGGACACTTTTATTAACACTTTGGGAAATTTTCATACTCATATTCCAAGAAATGGATTTTATACGAATTTTTAAAACTTAATCGTCGAAAATTGCAAAATTCTAAAAAATTGTCGAATATTTCAAAAATTTTTTTCTCAAGGACTAAAAGTGGTTTTCCAAAACAGCTTTTTGCATTAAAAACAGGATACTTTAATTAATAATTGGTGATATTTCCACAAGGATCTTTCAAGAAATTAATTGTATAGCGAATTTTGAAAATTATCGATGAAAATTGCAACATCAAAAATTTTATCAAAACTTCAAATATTGTATTCTCAAAAACTAAATGTTATTTCTCGAAACGGGTTGGTTCATTGGAAAGAGGACACTTTTATTAACACTTTGTGAAATTTTGCATACTCATATTCCAAGAAATGGATTTTATACGAATTTTTAAATGTTAATCGGCGAAAATTGCAAAATTCGAAAAAATTTGAAAAAATGGCCGGATACCGGATAGTTGCCGGATATCCGTTCCACCACTACTGTCTAATATTACACCTAGATATTTAACTTTTGTTTTCAGTTTAATAGTTCTGCCTTCAATGGAAGATGCTCTCAATTGTAGCCAATAACTTCTCTCCTCTGTCATTATTTTCGGTGGGCATACGTTGAGTGATGCGCGTTTATATGACAGCACCAACTTTTCTAGGTTTTCCTCCTATTGAAATCTTTCGGTCTTGCAGAGCAGCCTTCATACCTTGGATTCAGTACCTAATACATCATCTTAGGATAGAGGAAGATCGCAGTTATGTGAGAATATCGTTCTCTATAACTGCCTTGATTTGTGTCCATCAAACCAGTATCTGTGCAGTTGCCCGATAGCCGACCTAGATAATGTGCAAAACTCTTAAACGGTATTTACTTGTTAGCTTAGTTCTGTAATCTTGGAAAACTCAAATTTGTCTTTCCAGAATTTGAAGTCACTCATAATTAATCACAGCTTGATCGCAAATTCTTGTAGGAAAATTAAGTTTGGATTTCCTATAAAACACAAACACAAAAATGTGTCGGATTAGATTTGAGAAAAAGCTAAATGCATTGAAAATTTTTTCAAAAATGTTTACATAATTTTTCAATTTCATCGATTTACGAGCACTACGATGAAAATTGAATATCCATACAAACGAAACGGAACAAAAAAATATAATGGATGATTTGTAATTTACGAAATCAAATGGAAAGGTCGCTACCTACACAACGCAATGTTGTTTATGACCAACAGGTTTTATTTATTATTATTTTTTTGGATTTTTTTGTCAATACGTTATGAATTTGAGCCAATCAATCAATGTCGCTCGTAGTGTGTGTTCCGTATCCGATAGGTTATTGCAGGTGAGTTAACATCACGTGTAATACGTCAGCTTGAGTTTTTCTAATAACGACGTGTACACGACTACTAATTAACTTTGAGTGGCACTAAAGATCCCGATGGATTAACCTTGATAACAGCATATTTTGCAAAAAGGTTCATCAAAGATAGATTAGCGCACTCGACGATTTTACCCGAAAAATTAAGAGTTCGTTAAGATTAAAAAATGCGACAAGAAAACGCTGCGTCATGAAAAGACTTTATTCGCTTTATAAAGATGCTTGGGGACTGAGTATCAATCTTGTAAATGACCATGTAAAGAAGTCAACGCGACAGTTCGTTGTCCAGGAAAAACCACACCTGTGTAGCTGCGGCAGCAAGAGCTTTTTGAGGTGGTGATTTTGTGTCGTGTTACTGATCGATGGAGATAAATCTTTTTTGATTAGCTACGGGCGAAATGGGAGACCAGACAAGAAATCGTAGAAGAAACATTTGTTATCATCATTACTCGTACCTTACTTCTACGATCAATTTTTTTTCTTTTTCGGAGAAATTGTATCTAAACGCCGACGTAAGTTATCATCACAATCATAAAGATATACGTTACTTTACTGATTGGCCGCGTTTAACCCAGGAAGTAAATGTCATTTTAATAGCTGTTTGTAAATAAAGATTTCTATTATTGTCGTTGGAAGTTGAAAATATAGCTTGTATATGCGTGCTGTCGTATAGATTTCTACCGTAAACGAAAACACGAACTCCATTATTCCCTCGGCGTTCGTTTTGGACTTTAACGACCAATTTTCCCTAAACCTATTAATAAAATACACGCGGCCGGTGCGTTTAGGGACCATGTAATTATCGAAACAAATCGACATCCGTTCAAAATATGGATTCCGCGACCATAAAGGCACATTTACGACGACAGGCCTAAAACGGGATACAAAAAAAAGACGTAACTCAGCGTGGTCGTTGTAAAAACTCCTAAAAGTTTATCCCAAACGCGTCTCAAATAAAGCCAATACGAAGTTCTTTCGTTTTTTTTAGTGGTCCTCATAGAAAGGCACTTAATTTTTATTGCACGCCTTTTGTAAGGCGATTTCCTCGACTTTTCCTTTGACACAGCATTCGGTTGAGATCACAACCGTTAAAAACGGATTTGAAAATTCCGTTGCTTGCAAAAATAAGAATTAAAAAAAAGTTTTTTACCATTTTATCTTGAATAAAAACTTCCTAACATAACTAAAAAAATATATATACTATGGAACTAGGCTGTGGCCATTCATATTCCGTTAAATTTTATATAGCACAGCTCGGATCTCCATAATCCCAAAATGTATAACACGCAGTATAAAGCCCGTTACGACTGCCGACCTCTGCGAAAACAAAAGCATTTGCATGACAAGGCTTCGCCGAAACCGAGCCGAGCTTTCGTAGTAGGGAAAAACGAGGACGAGACGTTACGTCTTACCCCCGCTTCGAACTCAATTACATTAATTAAGGTTCCTTTAACATTTGAAATGCGCTTTGCTTACAGTCGAGACGTGACCGAAAAATATCCGTTCCAACGGGGGCAAAATTTCCTTTGCGGCGAATTGAAAACGCCAGATTAGATTACCGACTTCTTGCGCGTTCTATCTGGTTCTCTTTCGCCTCCTTAATTCTTAAACTGGATTAAAAAAGCGACGGGGTAAATCGAATTTTTAGTGTCGCCAGAGATATACATTGAGGTCTCTTGAATCCAGCTTTTTGTATTACATTTGTTGGTCTCGAAATCCACCCCCTTGTGTAAGAAGTAAGAAGATTGTCGCCCGGATCGACCGGTGTCCCCAGAAGGATATGAATGCCTATGAAATATTTATACTATATCTGGAATGGAAATAGAAGCTTTAACATGAACGCGACAACAAGCACAAAAGCTTCAAACAAGTTGGTAACAAAAAATAATACAATTTTTCTTTTCAACAAGGTGCTTAAAATCTAGTAGACGATTAAGAACCATCTCAAAAAAGGTTTTTCTCTCTCGAGGTCTACTTAAAAAGCAATGGACCGGTATCTACTCCCACAGAAAACGATAATGCCTTGCCGCAGGCAACGTAATGCAGGAAAGGTGGTCCAATGCTTTTAAGGGTGAGCACCAGCTTCGAAAAAGCGGATAAACGCCGGTTTCCTTTTTAATTTGAACAGTTCGCGGAAGCAGAAAAATACGTACCGAACAAACCAGAGTAAATGCAAATTCTTCTCGCAATAGCCCGTTTATCCAACCGGTGCGAACCAGGGGATAACAAACTTGTTCGGGACGATTTAAGTTCGGAAAATACCCAGGGGCTAATGCGCCCGTAATGATAATTCCGGATGCGTTATTGCGCGCTTCCTGTTCCCTTTTCGCCGTTCCAGAAGTCGGGAGAGAGTTCGTTGTACAGTTCACACTCGTATTTAGCCGTAGCACGAGCTTAAGCGACAAGCTGCGTCAATATTTTCGTGGTTCTATAAATATACTTATTATGGCTTTATCTTTTTTATAGTCGTTTGTGTCACAAAGTTATAATAACAAGTCATAAACTGTTATAACCAAGATGAGCTAACTTAAGATGATGCATTATCATAAAACTCTATTCAAATTTTAAATGAATTTGTTAGAGTTTAAGTATTACTTAGGTAGCAACAGTTTCTCTTCGCCGCTTCAATTTCCACAACAATGCAACGCACGCTCTATCATAAGCTTTTGCTCGATGGCAGGTATAATAGTGCCATTATAAAGCAAACTGCCGTAATGGGAAACATTACTGTGGCTGTACTATTGCCTGTGGGATGTTAATCACAGAACGTAATATTTAATGTAATCAACGATATTTTACGTTAGTAATGTTACTATGATTTCATTATTTTAATCGATAAAAAATTTATATAAAGTTTTTTTTTTGTTTCAGACTTTTTTTTTGAGAAAATTAATGATGTCGAGACGAAGCTGATTAAATTCAACAAATTTAAAGTAAGTAAAAAATACAACCATTAGCTTAGTATATTAGCTTTATGCAAATAAAATATTAAATACAAACATTCCCAAAAAAAGCTACATTGTATTCAAGTCCCTTCATCAGGTCATATAACATCAGGAATTAATTCCGTCCAATCGGAAAGATGGTACTGGTGTATGTTCCAAACTGGACGTCGCGCCTGTATTATTTTATGTAGGTAAAATAAACGCGCGACGTCCTGACTGGAACACACACCAGCCAGATTGGACGAGAATACGAGTCTACTATATTATATAATATATTAGCAAGATGTTCAATCACAAAAAATAGAGGTCTACCTAAATGCCTAACTCTACAATGAAGGCGCATAAACGGGCAAAATAATAGAATAAAAGCCATAAATGTAAACAGTTATACAAAAAAGATTCTTTGAAATGTACTAAATCAATACGCTACTGGGGCAATTTACAATTTGTTGTAATTTACACACGTTATCTGGTTGTTAACCTCCATTTTCTTGAATAATACACTAAAGTGAGCATAGTATTTATATTGGAGATAAGAAGGGTCTTCGATTGACTACATAAAATGCATACTTTAAAGAATGAATAATGAAAAAGATACCTGATACAGCTTGGATCCACAGCTATCCTTTCGTTTGTCGAGCAACTGCTCTAACTAGCAGCAAAAGGCAAAAATTAATATTAACTGACCTGAAAGACAAGAGTGGCGCTGGTGTGTTAAGTGTCATATTTAATAAGTATTAGAATGAGGGAAACTAGAATGATACAGAAAAGGTAAGAAAGAGACTAGACGGAGAAAAGAGGTTTCAGTTTCTTCTATGACCAGAGAAGAAACTGAAATGAGAAAAAAGAGACTTGTTATAGTAAAAAGAACCTGAACAGAAACTAAAAGACAAGAATGAGACTGGGAATAGAAAAAAATAGACTGAATACTAACTGAAAACTGAAAAAAAGATTGGACATAAAGGCAAGAGACTAAAAGAAAAGAGGTTGGTAAGGAGCGAACAGAAAGACTTAGAAGAGATAGAACGGAAGCTGCTAAGAGAAAAAAAGATGCTTTATTTGAAACGTAAAGTTTTAAGTTTAGATGTATCGAATGGGTAATAATAAAATTAATATAAAACCCATAAATTGAACAAAATCTGATATAAATCAACCCTACAGATGCCCCCTTCTTATCTCCCACCTCACATACATTTTCTAAAGTGGTGGTTATGCAAAGATAACACAACCGTTATACACTTTTATAACACTAACCGGATAGGATTTAATACACCGCTTAAAAACTTACGGTGGTAACCTTAAGTAATAACGTGAACTATAAAGAACAGTAATAAATTAGATAAAGGTTCCTTTATAGTTGTTGCGGGAAAGTTGTTATCATTAATTTATATACACATACAGGGTGGCTTAGGAAATGAGTTCTTCGTTTTTTAAATTAATTTTCGTCTTTCGAAGTAAATATCTTTTCTAAATTTTTACTTAATATAATTCCCCAAAACCAATTTATTACTGAAACTGTTAAAATCACCAAAATTTCCACCCGTTTCATGTTAACCAATTATCGGTCACGTTACTTTCATGTCGCTCTTGAAGCTGAAACTGAAGCTGAAGCTTCAGTGGGGCTTGTCACGGGACCAATTACACGAACAGCGAAATGTGTGTGAGAGAATCTAGCTGCCTCTGCTTTCGGTTCGATGGTGCAAGGTGACAAAGACTGGGTTAGACGCCGCCACCAACCAAGTATGTCGAGAATGTAATCTATTCGAAGGGTTTGCGATTCTAACATCTCCAACGCTGCAGCGTTTTAAAAACGTCCCTGTTAATACGTGTGTTTTTCGCGAAGTCATAGTTTTGTGCAAACGTAAAAAAGATTTTTTCGCGTTTCTACTGCCGAGAGCAAACACTCGACACTTGGAGGCAAACGTTAATTATCTAGGCGAACGAGCTCATGCCGGCCAAACAAAAGCCTACAAAGAGCGGGTGCAATGAAATATTCAGCATTCTGCAACAATGCAGCTTCGGCACCGGGCATGTATGGATTCTTCGAGATAAGACACGTAGCCCTTCTCCGGACAAAGAGAATTTTCGAAAGTAGTCTCAGCTTAGTCCAAGATAATCGCCCACTGCAAATTGTGTCCTAAAAGAAACCATGCAGAAATAGTAAGGAGGTCTATTGTCTAAGTACATTTTTATACAAGAAAAACTTTCTTAAAATCTTACTTTTTAAAACATTTTTTTTGTAAAGAATCCTTAACAAGGAACTCAAGTGCACAATAATTACGAAGAGTTGCATGCCGTTCGATATTTCATTGTTACGGCACAACAGAATAAGCGTCTAAGGGTTACGACAAGGACAGAAAGGTGAAATAATAACTCGACTTGGTACTTGCGCTACCGGTGGCTTGGGAATATGTCTAATTAGCATACGTGTATCGTAAACACTGCATGCAATTGCCTCAACTGCTTTTGGTGTGTATAAAGCTCCGGAAAGAGAAATTAGGATCCTAAAACTAAACTATCTTCCGCCACATAAATTTTAAGAGATTGGAACATCAGATTACTGTTGAAATTAATCCAAGTTTATAAGCACTAAAAATTTTATTCAAAAAAGGCAAATTCAACAACAATTAATCTTACAAGTAAATTGAGATATACACATTGCTTAGAACATTAGAATAAATTGTAAACCCACACTAAAACCGCACGTATTAATTTACGCGATGTTAGCCTGTTTAAGCAAAAGTCCACAGCCGTTAAACTTATCATCATTATTCTACAAGCAATCAATTTCATGGAACTTGTGGCACGCACGAGAGAAAAGCTCTCGCTGAGATTGTCGCATGAGATTGGCTCGGCTTAATTGCATTATGCGCTAAACGCGTTGTCGTTTAAAGCTGAGCGCAGTTAACGTTACTCTTCCTTCCTCTTACACCGTTATTCGCAGCTTCATATAACATTTTCGAATATCCACTAAATTCAATATCTAAATCCCGGAGACAAAACCCGGCTAACATCATAAATTCTCGCGTGGACTATACACAATCGATATCAATTGATGGTACAGTATCTCTTGTCGCACTTCCTGTAAACGGCCAAATGGAAAGGGAAATATGTGTACGGTGGACAGTAGATACTAGTAGATGTAACTAGATACTACTAGATACTAGAAACTATGGTTATCCGAAGTGGCCATCTACATTTGATAAATTTCAACTTGAGTTAATCGGTTCTATTCACATCTAATGACGATATTCATATATAAATAGAAGTGACATGTGAATAGTATTCAAGTTGAGGTAGAATGGAGAATGGCGAATTGAATGGTTTAATGGAAAAACGTTTTTAATAAATCAGGTAGGAAATATAAAGAAATCTTTGTCGACGTTTCTTTGTTTTTAGTTTACAAAGTTTGGTAATAAACTGGGATTCCTTTCTAGTAAGCTTCCGCCAACAATAAAGATAAATGTTGGCAACGAAAACGTGAAGTTTTGTGAAGTAGTAATTTTGATCTTTTTAGTACACTAAAATCGTTAAAGTCGTTTTACTAGTCTTGTACTAAGTTAAACATACCGAGTAACTTTGGTAGAGATGGGGGCGACGGGTTATGTATTTAAAATTAATTTTTCAAGATCATCCAGATTAAATCATTGATCCACCTACCCGTATTGCATTTAACTCATTGTCCTTCATCGATTGCATTACTATTGATATTGATGCACTATTGGGACTTTCTGGGATGTTCACGATTTGTCTGTTAATTTATTGATGCTTTGCTCATTCATTAAAATTTACTCAAATCCTGATACGCTTAGAAATACTATCATTAGAGATTTCTGAAACACTAGGGATACTTTTTGTTATTGATATACTTGGTGCGATATTAGTTATTTATTCGATGTTAACCATTAATATCATCTGCCTTAGGTAGTTCCAAAAATTTAAGGTGTTTAGGGTATCGTAATGATTTCCAAGAACTTTTTCAAGAAGAATTTTCTAGTAATTTCAAGGGATTTATTTTTTTTCAGTTGATATTTAAAGGTATTTTGGAATTTCCGAGTACATTCAAGATTACCGGAAGATTTCCAGAGAGTTTGTAAGGATTTCTAAGTACATCCAGGAATTACTAGGCATCCTAACTATTTCAAGAGAATTGATTAAAGATTTTCAAGTATATCTTGGGGATTTGCAAAGATATGATAACTAAGTTAGAGAAATAAATCGAGTTATTATATAAAATTTCCATTTATTTTTCCCTCTGCTTTGTTACCACTTCGTGATTAGATTAAACATTGCTAATTTCATCTAACAGATAATCAGCTTTGCATGAGTTATGCCACCAGCATTGATCTTTAGGGAGAGTGTTAAATTTATTTGATACGTTATAAAATCAACTCTCTACCGATCAACATCATAAAATTCTGCATACTTAATTGTGATTTAAAAAAAAGCTTTGAATTGAAAATCTCTAATTTTTCCAATAAGATGATGCAGCTCGTTATTTCAAATGCGTTCTATAGCAATACATTTATAGTTTGAGAACTTTTTCGTCTGCAATAAAATGGATTTCGTCATTATTCTCTGCTATATTGAAATCATTTCCAGTGGAAACGTAATATTGAATAAATTCGTTCTAAAATAACTAAGAAACTTGGTAAAGTTGAAGTCACAAAATAACAGGATGTTGTCATTAAGTTCTACACACCAGTACTGCTTGAAATTGAAACTTCTGTAATATTAGTTTGAGGTTCTACAATCGAAACCATCGAAGATGAACACGGTATTAAAGAATTTTATAATTAACAAAAAAGCTTTGTATCTTTGAATAACCTCTGTATTTGTTATGGCTTGAATTTGCCCATAATTGGGATTAAACTTCATAATCGTGGTGCAATCATTGGTATAAAAAAGTTTATCATGTCCCATAACCAAAATAGAGAAGCAGAGTGGTTTCGGATAAACCTCAAATTTATAGATAATTTACACAAAAA